ATTTACAGTTTATATGTGTTCTTGGCCTTCTTTGACTTATAGAATATTAGGGCAGAAAAAGATGGTAGAGGCAAACTTGTCTGACCTTCACACTTTACAAATGAGGAAACTGACACTCAACAAGGATGAGTTACCAGTCCAACCATGGCCTTCTCTTGTCTGGTTCTGAGGGGGCAGGAACCACATTCTATAGTAAGTAATTTCATGCTTCCCCTAACATAGCCCTAGATGCACCAAAAGTCTTTATGTGGACATTTGATGACCATTCCAAAAGGAGCAGAAACTTAGGTCCAGAGCACCAGAATGACCAGAGCAAAGGAGAGCCAAACTTAGAGGGCATCTACCTCAAAGGAAATAGAATAATCCAAGGTTTGCCCCTCCCCAATCCTCCCACAGGAAGCCAAGGATGTCTCCCAGTCAGCAAAGCCAGCAATGAAAACAAGCCATGTGAAATCACAGCACAGGAGGCCCAAGAAACCAACACCTGCATCCTAAAACCACTTCTACAGACAGCAGTGACATGCAGTCCAATAAAGCAGATAATTTCAAAGCCCTTCACTTTAAGACGGTAGGAGCTGGAATGAGGAGGGAAAGAACAAGTCAGTGCTTGAAAGCTTGCCTTTAGGTTTGTTATCAAGCTAGAATAACAAGCGATTGCCATATTTCAAATGTGTTTTTAAAAGCCCTAAATCAGATAATTGCCACCTTGCATTGTACTTGAAAATGCAAAAATAGAAAAGGAAGAAATTGTCTAAGGGCAATAAACCAGGGAAACAGAGACGGGGCAGAGGTGTGGGCTGTAGACGATTAGTACAGATGCTTGTAAACACTTACTGTGTGACATAGTTGACAAGCCCTGTTAAGAGCAGAGAACTAAACATGGTTCCAGTCTCTCTCTGGGAGAGAGAAATAATAATAGAGCAAGAGAATAAAGAATGTAACTGTTTAATCAGCATTTTATTTCCTAAAGAAGACAGTTTAGGTGACAATGCTTTTAACATTAATTTTTATCGCTTCATTACACTGTTAGGGAACATCAAAAACACAAAGTACTATATTTAATAGATCATACGTGAAAAAGAGAGAACACACTAGTTAGGTCAATGGCCTAGGCTTGCCTGAATTAGTTTTAATTGATTCATTTAACACATCCAAGCCATTCTGGGCTATTCTGTAAATAAGTATGATTAAATACAAGATACTACACAAATGTTCAATGTAAGTATGTATATATACATGTATAGAGAGAATATGCACATAAACATATATAATACATATGTTTTGTTCAAAACATATGTATTATATATATGTATTATATATGTTTATGTACATACCTATATATATTGAATATATTGTGACCACTTGATATATCCAGGTACTGAGCTGAATAAGCTAGTTCACTGGGCTCTCAAGGTATAAATCCTGAGACCTCTCAGGCCACATGTACTATTTGCTCAATCTGTAAACACATAATTATTGAACTTGCCTTCTAAAGTAACACCACACCCTGGATATGATGCAAAACCCAGCATTACGAGATAAGCTGTCTCAAGTTTCTGCTCGTTATAGTGCCTAAAGTATTTGTTCATATGCCCAGGATCTGAAGCAGAAGTAAACAGTCGGGCCAGTATTGTAGGGACACCTGTGTTACAAAATCGACTTTCTTGCATTGTGAAAGCAATGAATGAAGTTTGGCAGGACTCCTGTAGGAAAGCCGAGTTGTCCCACAGCACCTTGGTCGAGCAGGACTTTGACCTTATGCCTCTCTCCCTAACCTGCCTAGGTCAGCCTCCTTTCCTCGGGTATCAGATCTAAGCTCCAAGTCATGGTTCCCAGTGCCACACCTCACCTCCTGCTTGTCTTCTGTCCACACCCTCACTCAGCTAAGTGAGCCTCGCCCGCTGTTCATTTGCAGGTCTCTCAGATCTCCAAAAAGGCCTTTGCACAGGGCATTTAACATGCCTGGACTAATGACTCTTTTTATCTTTAAAACTCTACAAAGTCACTTCTTTTGTGAAGTCTTGTCTATAATTAGACAGAACACAATGTCCTGGATAAGAGGCTGTCGCACAATTTCGCTTTGTGGTTAGGTATGATTTTTGATATCCTCCCCTCCCTACCAAGATGTGACATAGCTGAGTGATCAAGAGCAAGAATTTGGGAGCCAGATGTTCAGGGTTTGGATACTGGATCCACCACACGCTAACTATACTTAGGTTTCCTTGACTGTGATAGATACAGATGATGATAGATAGATAGATAGATAGATAGATAGATAGATAGATAGATAGATAGATAAAGATGGACAATCAAAGAGCTTTGTGCAGTGAATGCTACATCAGTGAATCCATAATAAATGTGATAATAAGTGGCAGCCCCTATCTGCCTTGGTGTTCAGGATGATAGAGGCTGTCTCTGTGGTGAGCTGCAAGGGCATGCCTGAAATTGCTGCAGCCGCATAGGTCAATTGTCCCAGTGGAGGGACCTGGTCTGGTGTGACCAAATGCACAATTTCAAGAGAAGGCAAATTCACATCTCTGGATTTTAAATTGTTGGTTTACATTTAAAAAATTTATGTTTGAGCCAAAGAAAGCATATTTAGAAGCAGATTTATCCCTGAAGTCACTATTTTGTGATCTCTGACATTTGTGAATCTATAGCGGTGTATATGTGCTTCCATTTTTCTGTGTTTCTCCTTCCTCAACTCAATATCCTAGAGGCAGCTGAAAGTATGAAGGAGGTATTCAATTAAGACCAGCTGACCAATGAAGGTTTTTAATGAACAGATCCCAGTGGAACTTTTCTGAATGAAAACAAGGAGTAACTTAGTCACCCAAATTTACTGCTCTCTGCATTTGTCTTTACTTCAGGTCAACAAACCAGGTCCCGGGAACACAAAAATGAACAAGATGTAGTCCCTGATCTTGAGGAATGTACAGACTTGTGAGGGACACAGAAATAGACAGCTGTAATGTTTACAAAATACGTGGATACGTATTATCATGTGATTTTATACCCAATGTATAGAAGAAAACTGAGGCACAGAGAGGTTAAGTTCTTTGCCTGAGATCACTCCACTAGTAAGTGGAGTCGTAACAAGAACCCAGTTCTGCTGACTCCAAACCCAGGGCTCTTTCTGCTGCATGTTAATGTTCTAGACAACATAATGCTTGCCTGTGACACCGGAGAAATCACGCTCATTAAAAGGGCTGATATCCAGTGAGTTAGATTGAGGCCTAGATGGAATCGTGGCATGCAAGCTTTGAAAAGCACCTGTGAATGGTTAGGAAAATATTTTTCTTCTTGTTAAATATAATTTTCCACCTACCAAAGAGAATTTGATACCCCTTTCAACAAAGCATAATACCATATTTAAAAAAAAAAAAAAAGGATAAAAGAACGAGGTAGTGAAGGGAAACAGAGATGAAAACCCTGTTTCAGAAAAATCAAGGGTAAGAATAGGCAGCGCTACCGTCTGATCTCGGAAGCTAAGCAGGATCGGGCCTGGTTAGTACTTGGATGGGAGACCATCAAGGATGCTGTAGACATAAAAAAAAAAAAAAGAAAAAAGAAAAGAAAAAGAGGGGATTGTAAACTGACAAGGTCCTTGTAATCTGTGAGGTCAACCAAGGATTGCTTTGCCTAAAAAAAAAACCAAGGTAGCATAAATGGACACAAATCCTAGCTCTGAGCTTCCTGAGAGACAAGGCAAACTGGGAAATGACAAAGTTATTGCTGTTTCTAAAAGAAGGCATATGAATTTTAAGTTTAGAGTTTAGTATCACCACTTGTTCCCTAATTTCTGAATCACATGGCTAAAAAATCAATATTTTTATGAAAACACTTATTTGAAAATATAGCATTTTATAAAAATAAAAGTTAATTTGTTATATGTGCAAAGTCAATGTTGATCAGATTTGGAAATTTATGACAACACACTGTGAAAAATAAAAGAAACCTCGTTTAAAATGGAGTCATGGAGTTGGGAGGCTCACACACATGCCACTCAACACACACTACTGACCCCAACAGGAAAAGAGGGCACCTCGCATCTCCAACAGGAAGTGATACTACTTTACTACTTTAGCAGAAGGAAGAAACGAATCCTCCTTGCCCAGTAACAGTTCAGAGACTGCCATAACTCAGCCAATAAAAAGTCACTACACTACTTTAAACTTTCAGTTTCTTCCAATGAACTTGTCATTTACAACAGCCCCTGCCAGGTCCATAAAAGAGCTTTCACCTCCTCTGTTTCTCTGGACTCGGGCATGGTTTCCCATCTAGACTGCATGTCCCAAATTGCAATTCTTTGTTGTTTCTGAATTAACCCATTTTGCTGTAGAAATACCTGGCTATTTGTAAGAGGTCAACATTACTGACTAGCATATGATTGGCAATATTAATGGTTTGGCTTGTTCTTCAAAGGAAAATAGGAGAATTAGCCTACAGTTTAGAAGGATTATTTAGCAGAGTACTGTAACTATAATTTTGAGGATAGGGTGAGCAAAGAGTTGCTCTCTTCATAAACAGCACATATTTCAAGTTCTTAACTAGGTGAACTATAGCCGAAATGGCACGTCAAACACAAGAAGACATTCAACAGCTATGATGACATTTCATCAATCATTCACTAATTCAACAAATTATTACTGAGTGTTCACAGAGTGGGCATTCATATACTGTCCTCAGGGATGGAGACAGAGCAGTGAACAAAACAAATATCTCTGCTTTCATTAAGCTCTCTTGAGGCTAAGCACAGTACGTTACACAAATTAAAGATGGAGATATATATATTGTTTATGAGAGAGCTGGAGTTCTCACGGTGATACTGTAATCCAAATCAGTCCTCTGGAAAGGCTACAGCCCTGTGTTACTGCAGACCTTGAAACAGATGCTTCGCTTTTGTCACAAAACTATCTAGAGCATAGGAACAGCTGGGAAAGGGAGGAGCAAACACCAACCCTAAGGGCCACAGAACAGGGCTGGAGTCTGGCTCTCACCTTTTTAAGCTGACAAGGGATAGAGAGGGATTGAGAGTGGACCCGCCCTCCTGCTGCGGAAGCATCCAACGAACACCTTCTTCAGCTTGATGACATGGTCCTCTTCTGCCCCGGAAATGGCTTTAAGAAGCACCTAGAAGAAGAAGAAGAAAGTCTATAGTAGCCATAGAAGAAGCTGTTAGAAAAAGTTAAAAAAGAAATAAATAAGGATATTTAAGACCCATACGGGCATTTACTCAACCAATATTTATTAAAGCCTTACTAACCATGCAAAAGATTATGCTGGGTCCTGGGGAAATTGGGGTGGGGGTAGTCCTGCCCTCATGTCTTTTACATTCTAAAAGAGAATCAGACATCAAACAAGTAATTAATTAATTAATTAGTTAATTAATTAAAATTAGAACAACTACTAGGAAGACCTATTGGAGGCGACAGAGCTATACGAGGGCAAATTTACCTAAAGCCAAAGATACTAGAAACCCTTTTAACATAGTTCCACTCAGCTGCTCCTCTCTCTCTCAATCTCTCCTCTCTCAGACAAACACACACACACAAACACACACACACACACACACACACACACACACACACACATTCGTGCACACACAGGCTTCCATAGCTATAATATAATCGGGCACCTCTTGTCTCCCTCTTTCAAAGAAGCTAGTTTGGTGCTGGAAATGCCAAGGATGCTATTCGTTCTGTTTTTTAGGCCAACAGACTGGAATCTTGGTAAGTCCCATAGCCAGGATCCCTACTCAGAGTTAAAATGCAGTCAGGAAGAAGGAAAATGAATAGATTGATTACATCTTTCAACATCTTCTAGATCTGTGAGTTTATGGTTGCGTTTGTCCCTATCGATACGGAATTAGAATGTGCCGGTTTCAAATTTAAACTTGCCAGAGAGCACAGTGTTCAAAATGAAAATGACAGTTTTTCACTGGATTATGTGCTGACCTATAGCAGCTCAGTGTTATATATTGAAGTTAAGCTAAACTGCATAAAAATAGAAGGTGTAAAAGCTAAAATTAAAAAATTAAAACTTAAGAGTCTGTATATGGTGAACTCTGATTGGCTATCAAATTATATTAATCAATAATGTCAAATTGGAAAGAAAACATAAAAAAACAAGGAACATTATTTTGGATAAAGTGTTGATGTAGGCAGATTTTAAAACTTTTTAGTTATGTAAGTACATATTTGTAGTAGGTAAAAGTTAAAGATTACAGACAAGTATATAGAAGATAAAAATGCAGCCATTTCTAACAACTAAAACATCTTCTATGAAATGACTATATCAAAATATATTTAGCCAATTCTCTATTATTGGGCATTTATGATTTTTCTAAACTATATTAACACTAATGTTTCCATGAACACCTTTATACATTCATCTCTGCACACATCTCTCATTGTTCTCCAACGAAAAACTCTCAGAACTGGAATTTCTTAGTTGTATAGTATTCAGAAGTTTAAAATCAAAATTAAAGCAACAGCTAAATTCAAAGTCACTTGAAATATTTTTAAGGCGCTTACTACAACTTCAAACCTAGGAAGCATACAAAAATGGAAAGAAAACAGTATTTCCATATAAAAGTCAATAATAATTTTACATATATATAATTTCCAGACTCTACCATGTCTTGAAACCTCCCCAAATACTGACAGACAGCAATACCATATGGTTATAGACACTTCTCAGAGAGCAAGCCTGTTTCCGATTGCAGTACAACAAAGATGGTAACTGATTGTTTCATTTCTGAATTAAAAAGGCTGAACAGAAAACTAACCACACCAAACGTAGATAATATGTTTATATGTATACAATTGCATTGTACACAACAGAAGGATACTGAACTGAAAAATGTTTTCTTTGTTTGGCCATGGGCAAAGTCATAATTTTTGAGGAGAAAGATACAGAACTGGAGTTTACAGATTTTTTTTTTAAATTTAATAGACAAACGAACAAAGCGCATCATTCATAAATAACCTTAAAATAGGAGAGAGATATAATCTCTAAATAAGAAATCAACATATAAAGCAAATGCATTTAATCTGATTTTTAAAAAGTCTGCTCCATTGGTCATATTTTTCTTATTTTGCACTGAGGTGTGAAAACTTGCATTAATTCACAAACTCTTGATTGAAAATAACTCCTCTTGGTAATTACTAAGTCCTTTCTAGTTCTAAAGTGCTATCATTTTGTAATTCTAGATTTTAATTTAAGTTCTATATAAAAAAGCAATTTGCAAGGAATTTTAAAATTCAGTCTCTCATACTTACAGGCTGCTAACGAGTAGATTCCAGAAAGGAAGTGTGGCCATTTTCCCATCCAATGGCCGCTGGAGAGGGCCTCCTATGGCCAGCACTGGACTGTGCAACGGGAACACAGAGACACAAAGCACAGCTTCTGCCTTCAGGGGTTTCTCACCTAGAGGGAAACAGGATACTAAAATAAAGTGGCAGTGGGATATGACTAGTGACATAATGTAGAAGGTATGCCTGGAGGCATGGAGCACTTGGGAGCAGCACTCTACCCAGACTGTGGTGGAGATGGGTAGTAGGCCAGATCTTCTGGAGAAAGTGATGCTTAAACTGAGTCTTGAAGGGCAGGACAAGCCTTAGGCAGCTAAGGTTGTCTTTACAGGAAAATGAGCAACCCCTGTAAAACAAACGTGTATCAGAAAATAGTGGAGAGTCCTAGGAACTCCACAGCCTGGCAAGTTCCTGTGTGGGGAGAGCCTATGAGTTGGAGGATTGTTGAAGACACTGTAGAGGCAGGCAAGTGGCCAAACCAAGGAGAACCTGCAATGCTAAGGAGTTTGGACTTGACCTCCAACGCATTGGGACATCACTGAAATATTTTAATCAGGGGAGAAAACTGAGGCACATCTTACTGTTAGCCTCTGCCCTCATCTCAAATTTAAAGTCGATCTGTACAAAGGAAAAGAACTTCAAGGTGAAAAATTCTTGTTACTTTTATTTTTTAAGAATGAGGATAATGTAATACAAGTTTGTTAAAACAAATTGTAAGAGTATAGAAGTGCACAAAATAAGAAAATTTCCAGCCTCCCCCACCTCCACCCCCTCAACTAAATCCTACTCCCCAGAGTTAAATTATTTTGAGTTTCATATAAATCCACGTATATATTTTCTAAATACATACAAAAGTATTTTTATATAACGTATTTTTATGAGTTCTCTTATAGAGAATATATCGTGCTACATATATTGTTTTGCAAATTGCCTTTTTCTCTTAATATATTGTCAGTATAGATCAGTCTCATTCTTTCGGACTTCACAGTATTCCACTGTAGGTTATGGCTATGCTTAACATTTTAACATTTTCTTGTTGGTAGTCATTGAAGCAGTTTCCAATTTTTTAGTCATTACTGCAGTATACATCCTTGACTATCTGTACAGCTAAGTTTGCTATCCTAAAGGACAGTTTCTTAGTACTAGAATTACTAGGTTAAAGAATCTAGGCATTTAAAATTCTAAGAGCTACTGCCTAGTTGCTCCGTAAAAAAGTTGTTCTATTTTATGCTCGTTCAGATTATGCAAGAGTGCTCATTTTCCTCCACGATGGCCGAGCTTTTGAATGTTTGCCAATCTGATAGATGAAAGATGTTATCTCATGGTTGCCTCAATTGGTTGTTAGAGAGCTTGACTATCTTTCATGTATTTATTGGCTAAATATATTTATTGTGAATTCATATTTATCTATGAATTGCCTTTCTACAAACCCTACAGGTCAGAGATGTCTAATCTGGGGTCCCAGGGCCCCTGATATACGATATGAAATTTTCTGTGTGTATTGGATGTGTATTATTCTCAGGATAAGACTCAACGAACATCAAGAACCACTGATCTTAAACTCTGTAGCTGAGAGAAGCAGGGCTAGAAGGAAGGATGTAAAAGGAGGGAGGGCAAAGCTCTGCGACTGGTTATGTGCTTGTACACACACACACACACACACACACACCTTTTACTATTTTACCCTCATTTCTACTGGGCTTTGCCAATAGCACTCCTTCATTTCCCTCCCTAGAAAACTCCCAACCCCCATAGGGGCTACTAGATCATTACAGACTGGGCTCACTTCTTACTAATATTTGTACACATACCATAGAGAAAGCTGATAAACAACTCAAGATGCTTCTTTATTTATATTTTGGTTCATAAGAACATTCGAAAACCTTATATAAAAAAGCCGTAGCCTATTTATTTGAAATCACAGAAAAGCCATTCTGTTCCATCTCCTAAATATTGCTCTAACTTACTCACATCTCCTCTCCACTCCAGCCATCACATCGTGCTTTCTCCACTGCAGCACTCTTTGAACCTTCCTCCCATGTCCTCTCTGCCATACTCCCTAACCCACTGTTCACACTTTAGCCTGAGCTGCCTTTTCATTTCATCACCCCCCAGTGTGCAACCCTCTCGTGGCTCCCCTTTACTCTTGGGCTAAAGAACCAACCCCTTAAGGTGTGAGCCCACCTGGAGCTACCTGTTCTGCTCCACCTACCTCTCCTGTTCTGCTAAGCCTCTCTTCCCTCACCTGGCTCCAGCCACACTTGGAACACTCAGGCATTCTCTCTCCCACTCTGTGACCTTTGTAATTCTTTTTCTTCTGCTTGAATGCTCTCTCTCCCACTCCTCTCTTTCACTGAGTTAGCTTCTACTAAGCTTAAAAATAACTTCCCCAACCTGCCAGGCCAGGTCATGTGCTGCTGTTTCAGGTTTTCCTAGAACCCTCCCCTTTTTTTCCTTCTCAATTATCCCAAATTTGCAATTATATAGTTCATTAACATCTGCATCCACTCTGGCAGGTGAGCTCCAGGAAGACAGAAATAGGATCTGTTCTGTTCTCTGAAATTCCAGTGCTCAGAGCAGAGCTGACACAGAGCAGATAATCAATAAATACAGTTGAAGGGAGGGGGAAAGAGAATACTACTATAAATGATCCTTTGTCGGCCTTTATTTTCCTCTATGCTTTCCTTCAAATTTGAGCAGATACTAATTATGTCCTGGATACGGAAATTGGCTAACTCACTCTGCCCATTCCAATTATTTATCAGGAACCTATTGTGTATGTACTAGGCACTTTTCCAAGAGCTGGGGGTAGCCGAGCGCGGGTGGTTAGTTGGGGGGCGAACCACAGTGAACAAAATAGATCTTTCCTCTCCTTCTGGAACTTACATTCTAGGAGGAAGAGGAAACAGATAGTAAACATAACAGATAAGTACATTATATAATATATTTAGAAGGTGAAAACTGCTGTGGAGAAAAATAAAGCACAATATGTTGGATGTGAAGAGAGAAGAACGGGGAGCTAGTTCCCATTCATTGTATGTTAAAAAAATTAGATTGGGGAGACCAAAACAGAGGGAATGTGAGTACTCTCAGGAAGTTTAAAATAAATTTGAGAAATACATAGATACCGCTACTTATCGACCTTGCTACTGCGCACACCCGTGAGTGAGCTGTGTTGAGCGGCGCGCCGCAGGTTTGCAGGGGCCCTTTCCACTCCCCGAGTCCTTCCACACCTTCAAAAACGTCACACATTCACATGTTCCTCTTTTCCTCTGAACCCTCTACTCCTCCCTGGCAAAGTTAGTGTATCTTTCTTCCACGTCCCTACGACATTTTGGTCATCTCTGTACTACATCATTCTTCTCCCTGTTCTGTAATGATTTATGTTGCATGCCATCAGCCCCGCTAGAACACAGGAACTCCTCAAGGGCAGAGACCATGTTCCAGCATCCAAAATCTGATCATTTCCAGCACTTGGTAACATAGAAAGTGCTCGAAGTATTTGCTAAATGAGTGAATGTAAGAACGGATACGACTGAACAGAAACAGAATGCGTGTAGCTACTGCGATTAGAATGCATCTTGCTGAGTTCTCCAGAAATTCTCCACATTCATGTAGAATACTCTTCAGCCCTTCTGGCTCCCTGGAATATTGGAATGGTCAGATAGGTCGTAGGATACCTTTTCCCATTCTCTTTGTTTTAACCTATTTGGCCTATATATTAATATATTTAAAGTGGTTTTCTTGCACACAACATGTCATAGAATCTTACTTTTTTTACCTAGTCTGACAATCTTTGACTTTTAATGGTCTTTAGACCATTTACGTTTAATGTAATTATCAATAGGTTGAGTTTAAATCTAGCATTTATTGTTGGTGTTCTATTTGTCTCATCCTTTCTTGTTACTTTTTTCTTCCTTTCTTGCTTCTTTTGAATCAATTGGTATTTCTTAATATTTCATTTTATCTCCACTGTTGGTGATGTGTGTGTCTGTATTATATATATATATATATATATATATACACACACACACACACACACATATATATATATCCTCTATTTTATTTTTTAGTGATTTCTCTACACTTTACAATATTCACTTTTGACTTATGTTCAAATAATATTATACCACTTCATATATCACGTAAAACCCTTACAAGTATAGACTGCCATATCCCCTATCGTGTCCTTTAAGCTACTGTCATACATTTTACTTCTACATATTTGATAAATCTCAAAAATACATTATTATTTTTCTTTATACGTCAAATTAACTTAAAAATTTTTTAATGGAACAAAATCTTTTCTATTTGCCCACATATTTACAATTTCTGGCACACTGTATTTTGAATTTTCATCTGGTATCGCTCTCCTTTGGCTGAGTAATTCCCTTTAATATCTTATAGTATATATCTCCTGGCAACAAATTCCTCAAGTTTTGTTTGTCTGGTTAAGTTTTTATTTCACCTTTGTTTTTGAAGGACATTTTCAGAGGTTATAGAATTCTAAGTAGACTTTTTCATTTAGCACTCTAAAGATGTTACTTCATTATCTTCTGGCTAAGCAAAGTTTCTGAGATGAAGTCCATTCTTAGTCTCATATCTGTTCCTCCACATGTAATGTTTATTTTTCTCTGACTGCCTTTAAGATTTTTCTCTTCAACACTGGTTTACAGCAATTTTTCTTACACACCATTAATTTTTTCCGTGAGTTTTTAAGCTTCTTGGACTTACAAAATATAGTTTTCGTCAAATTTTAAAGTGTTTCAGCTATTATCGCTTCAAATATTTTTTCTGTCTCCTCTTCCTTTCCTCATGTGTGGTAGACCATTTGGTACTATCCTACAGATCACTGAGCCTCTTTTCCTTTATTTTTTCAGTCTTTTTTCTCTCTGTGTATCATCTTGGTTTGATTCAATTGCTATGTTTACAGGCTCATTAATATTTTCTTCTGCAGTGCCTAATCTGCTGTTAATACAGTGAAATCTTCAGTTCAGATGTATTTTTCATCTCTAGAAGTCTCATCAGATTCTTTTTTATAAATTTCATTTTTCTTCTGATTCTTTTTATGTTTTCCTTTAAATATTTATACATAATAATAAAATCTGCTT